ATAAGATTTATCTGTGCTTATGTTAAATGTAAAAAAATCTAAAAAAAATACTTAAAAAAAAATCATGTGATTATGCCAACTATGCCAAATAGTTACACACTGACTTTCTACTCCATTTCTTTTTTGCTTATTCCCCTTTTCCCTTCAAAGTTTGGAACCAATTCAAGGACTGATGAAAATAATTTTATTAGTGATTAAAAGAATTTTACTTAGATGTTATCAAAATGGTGGCTCAAGTTCCATATCTGTGGCTTCACTTTATATTCAGTCTGTCTTAACTCTCATCTCAAATTAGCCAGCAGAACGGGCATGGTTCAGTACTCATCACATTACTTGAAGGTTGGTCCCACCCTGTTATTGAGATCCGTGACTTACTTTTACTTTACAGTTTAGAGCTGGATCCACAGTGTGTGGAGTAGGTAGTATATAAAGACTTCAGAACTCATTGTAGTCTCTGATTTTTTTAAAAATTCAATTATGGTAAAATACACATAAAATTTACCACGTTAATCATTTTTATGTGTACAGTTCAGTAATGTTAAGTACATTCACATACAACCAATCTCCAAAACTCTTCATCTTGAGAAATCTGTTTTTTTACATTCAAGCTCTGCTTGTAGATAAGGGCTGAACAGCTTTTCTTCCATTTCTTTTCTAAATTTTAAAGTACAAGGAAATCCAATTACAGTGTAGAGAAGTAGTTTCACCTTCTGACTACATCAGAGACTAAAGCTTGAAGTAATGTCTGTTGACAACCATAAGCGCAGGAACATCTGAATCATGGCCGTTTCAGAAGGGGAAGAGAAAGGAAAAGGAAAACGGGAACAAGACAAGAATGCTCACTCTCACCACTCATATTTAACATAGCATAGGAAGTACTAGCCAGAATAATGAGGCAAGAGACAGAAATAAAGGGCATCCAGCTGGGAAAAGACGAAGTCACACTGTCCCTGTTGACAGAAGATATATAGAAAAACATTAAGACTCTATTAAGAAAACTCTTAGAGGCAATAAATTATTTCAGTAAAGTTTCAGGATACAAAATCAACATGCAAAAATCAGTAGTGTTTTTATACTCTAATAACAAACTAGGAGAAAAAGAAATCAAGAATGAAAGCCCATTTACAATAGTCATCAAAGAAATAAAATACCTAGAAATAAATTTAATCAAGGGGGTGGAAGATCTTTACAACAAGAACTACAAATCACTGTTGAAAGAAATGAGAGGACATAAAAATATGGAAAGACTTTCCATGCTCTTGGATTGGAAGAACTGATATTGTGAAAATGCCCATACTACCCAAGGGAATCTACAGATTCAGTACATTCCCTATCAAAATACCAATGACATTCTTCACAGCAATAGAAAAAATAATTCTAACATTCGTATGGAACAACAGAAGACCCTGAATAGCCAAAGTAATCATGAGCAAAAAACCAAAAAACCAAAAAAAACCACTAAAGCCAGAGGCATCACACTATGTGACTTCAGTTTATACTACAAAGCTATAGTAACCAAAACAGCATGATACTGGCATAAAAACAGACACCCGGACCAATGGAACAGCATAGAGAACCCAGAAATCAACCCACATACTTACAGCTAACTGATCTTTGACAAAGGCACCAAGAACATACATTGGGGGGAAAGAGTGCATCTTCAATAGATGGTGCTTGGAAAACTGGACGTCCATATGTCAAAGAATGAAACTAGACCCATACCTCTCACCATATACCAAATTAAACTCAAAATGGACTAAAGACTTAAAATATAAGACTGGAAAGTACAAAGCTCTTTAAAAGAAAACATAGGAGAAACACTTCAGGAAGTAGAACTGGGCAAAGACTTAATAAAACCCCAAAAGCACAGGCAACAAAAGAAAAAAAAATACACAATTCCTGCACTGCCATGTTTATTGTAGCTCTATTTTCAGTAGCCAAGAGTTGGAAGCAGCCTAAATGTCCATCGACGGATGACGTGATAGGGAAAATGTTATATATGTACACAATGGAATACTATTCTGCCATAAAAAATGAATGAAATTCTGCCATTTGCAGCAACATGGATAAATTAGAAAAATTATGTTAGGTGAAATAATCCAGGCACAGAAAGAGATACTGAATATCTTCACTCATAGTGGGAGCTGAAAAAATGAATAAAAGAAGAAAGAAAGATACAACAATTACAGTAATTTCTTGAACTTTCAAAAGGAGAGAACTGAGGGGGTGCGTAGTGAGAGAGGGGGGGAGGTGGAATTGGTAAAGGGACATGAAAGTCAACTACATTGTATATTGGTAAATTAAAAAATGGAACTGAGGCCAGTAGATGTGGGAAAGGGGGAGGGGGAGTGGGATTTATTGAGAAATTGGTAAAGAGCCACAAATTTTGATTGTATTGTATAATGGTGAATATACTAATTATCCTGATTTGAGCATCATATATTCCACATAGGTATTGATATTCAACACTGTATCCCACAGATATGTACAATCAGTTATGATTCAATAAAAAGAAGGAAGACATTATTATGTATATCTTGGTTATATTCTAAAATTCTTTTATAGAAAACCATCAATGCAGTGGTTGAATTCTTTCAATCAGATAGGGGATTGGATCTTGAGCAAATAACATCAGCTACATTGATGAAGTTGGAAGAAATTAAAGAGAGAACAGCTACAGGTAAAGAACTGATTATGTACATAAGCAGTACCTAAACTTTACAAAGTTTGTCTGTTCTGATGTAAACGTATTTAAGGTAGTATAGATTGCTTTGTTTCTTTGTTTTAATTTCAGGCTGTATTATACAGTGGACACGGCTTACATAAATCCAAATATACTTGCTAGACAGGATGAGAAAGAGAATAATATGGGGTGTAGATTATTCTGCCGGCTATGACATTCAAGAACCTGTGTCCCAGAATGAGCTTGAGATATAAATCTTCCCTCCAGCTCAGTTCTTAAGAAACTGTTAACCCTACTGTGTGTGAATCTAGTTTTAAAGATAATACTTTTGGATAACATGGCCTCTAAACTCAAGCCAACTATCCAGTATATTATAATACACTCTTTCATACCTGGATAAAATACTAGCTATGTTGGGTTTACTCTGCTGTGCTGTGATGTTACTATTTCCCATTGAGTATGTGTAATTTTCACCTTACATGATTAATTGAAAATCTAATTCCTGAGAAGAATTGACTCCTCCGTAATGCTTTCCAAGTAAAATTTTTATTCTAGTTTTAAATAATATGATTACATATTCCAACTTGACCATCTAATCTTTTATTATTTTTTTGCCTTCTTTAGGACTTACACATATTATTGAGACTCGAAATGTCCTTGATTTAAGGATAAATCTGAAGCCTTCTTATCTAATAGTTCCACAGACAGGTTTCTACCACAAAAAGTCAGATCTTCTCATTTTAGATTTTGGTACATTTCAGGTAGGTATATATGCATTTTTGTTTGCCCGTCTTTGACCAGCTTGGTAGCTAGCTTCTGATAATTTGCTTTTTTTTCCCCTCAGAGTTCCCTTAAACTAAACCTGGACTTATTTTTTCTTAGCTTTTAGACAAGTCTA